CTCACAGGGTTCGCGGGGTCTATCCCTCCGGTAATCAGCTCGCTGTCCTGTTGTGACAACTGCTCATCAACCTGGGCATCACCGACTTCATCTTGCGAGCCACACACAGGATCTGGGTTCGTCGGGTCTGGACTCCCATGGTCCTCACCGTCTACTTTCGAACCGATCTCTGGCGGCTGCTTCTTCTCAGCCTCCTCGGTTGCATCTTGCCCACTGGCCTTGAATCCACTTGTTAGCAGTGTCGGTGGCAACGGAGGCGCTGGACACATGAAGTCTCCACCCTCCGGCACGGACACCATGATCTCCACTGGCTCCTCCTTCTCGGCCTCTTCATTCGCGCCGCTGGCCTCATCTGCCTCTGCCCCACCGGCATTCACATCATTGTACTCAGCCACGGAGTGTTGCGACGAACACTCGTCCTCGTCCGAGTACTCGTCTTCTTCACCTTCTTCGCCCTCCAAACCCTCGGATCCAGACCCATCCGAGTACTCATCCTTTTCGTTGAGGGCCTCCTGGTGAGCGCCGGTGCTCGACGCAAGCTCCTCACCGGAGGATTGGAGGGGACGCGCGTTTTTCTCCGCCGATCCCGAGTCCTGCACGAAAGCCAGGCACACGCACAGCACGACAATACTGGAACAAAACAAGCCCCGAGTCCTTGTCGGCTTCTTCTTGCAAGTCACGCGGAGGGGCTGGACACATGAAGTCTCCACCCTCCGGCACGGACACCATGATCTCCACTGGCTCCTCCTTCTCGGCCTCTTCATTCGCGCCGCTGGCCTCATCTGCCTCTGCCCCACCGGCATTCACATCATTGTACTCAGCCACGGAGTGTTGCGACGAACACTCGTCCTCGTCCGAGTACTCGTCTTCTTCACCTTCTTCGCCCTCCAAACCGTCGGATCCAGACCCATCCGAGTACTCATCCTTTTCGTTGAGGGCCTCCTTGTGGGCGCTGGTGCTCGATACATCGACACGTTCCTCGCCGGAGCCTTGGGCGGAACGTTCCTCTTTCTCCGCTGAGCCAGTGTCCTACGAGAAGGCAAGGCACAGGTACAGCACACCCCGCCCCCGGGTGTCTTTCTGTCCTTGCTTTGACTCGAAACGCAGGATTTACGTTGGTTTCGGCTGTTGTTGGCTTGCTCTATTTAGACAAGCTGATGATGTATTATGGCTTTTGTGGGCGATGTGCTGCAGCCAGTTTTTTCCCGAAAGCATCGCGAAGGGTTCTTCCGTGCGAAGCCCTCGAGAGAAGTACATGGGATCAAGTACACGGAGTGCATCGAGTCAAGTGCATAGTACATAGAGTGAAGTACATCGAGCCAAGTACATAGAGTGAGGTGCATCGCGCCAAGTGCATAGTACATAGAGTGAAATTCATCGCGCCAAGTGCAATTCATCGAGCGAAGTACACGGAGTCAAGTACATCGAGCCAAGTGCATAGTACACAGAGTGTGAAGTACATCGAGCCAAGTGCACAGAGTGAAGTACATCGGAGTCAAGTACATAGATCCAAGTACACAGAGTGAAGTACATCGAGTACTCGACTTATCTACATCTTGGTATACTTACATCTCGGTATATCTATTTTATCTTTTTAAGCCGGGGCGGCCCCGATGTCATCGATCGGGAATGAACCCTTACCATGGATTCGCGTGGTCGAGTGCACGAACGCGAGGTAAAGTTGCAAATTCTAGGGCCCACGCGCAACCCTTACCATGGATTCGTGTGGTCGAGTGCACGAACGCGAGGTAAATTTGCTACTTTTCGGTGCGCGCAACCCTTACCATGGATTCGTGTGGTCGAGTGCACGAACACAAGGTAAAGTTGCAAATTCTAGGCGCCACGCGCAACCCTTTGCGTGGATTGGCGTGGTCGAGTGCAAGAACGCGAGGTAAAGTTGCTCCTAAGTTGCTACTTTTAGGGTTCCCGTGCAACCCTTGCCGGGGATTGACGCGCAACCTGATATGTCTGTACGAAGCCATCGAGAGAAGTACATAGATGATAAACATAGAGTCGCGATAAACATCGAGTCAAGTATATGTAAGGTCGAGTAAATAGTGTTGAGTGCATTGGGTGACAAACACAGAGTGCAGTGACGATAAACATAGAGTGGAGATACAGGTAGAGTCCATAGAGTCAACTACATCGAGTCAAGTGCATACTCTAGGACTCTATGACTCCCTCACTTCCGATGACTCAATGTATGCTTCACTCTAGGACTCTATGCTTCACTCCAGGACTTCATGTACCTGACTCTATCACTCTAGGACTCTATGCTTCGCTCTAGGACTTTATGTACCTGACTCTAGGTTGACTGCTCAGTGACTGCTCTGACTGATCATAGACTGCATGACTCTATGACTCGATGTATACTGAACTCGATGACTGTATGACTTTACGTACTTGACTCTATGACTTTACATAGCGCTAAACTCTTCGCAAATGATGCTTTCGGGCCACCCGTCTTCTAGTTGTGTTTAAATGCGCCGCCTGCGTGATGTTGTGTTGCTGGCTTTTCTCAGAGTGAGTGCACTCCTCTGAGTTTGCGGCTTTGGTCTCCGGGTGTTGTGGGGGCTTCGGGCTTTGCACTGCTCTGGGTTTGGGATTTGGACTTGTGGCTAGGCTTAGAGTTTCGGGCAGAATGCCGTGATGGGGGACTTGGCTGCGGGCTTGCACTGCCGTGGGTTGGTCGCCAGCTTGAAGGCTTCAGGCTCCGGGCTTTCAACACGACGCGTCGCGGTACCCCGAAGCCTGCGCTTGACGGGCACTAAACTGACAGACGACACATACGTCATCAATATGAGTCCTTGTGGCAAAAGTAGGCAGCCCCAGCCCTCTGAAACAAGTCATCGTCGGAGCTAGCAACAGGAGGAAGCAATCACAGACAGAAGTAGCAGGACCCCATATGGCAGCATCAGCAGCAGATATGGAAGAAGAGCACGGGCAGTAGCCCTGCAATGACAGTACTCGCGGCAATAGTCCTGATGTGGAAAGTAGTCGCAACGCAGCAGCAAGATCAGCACAAGCAGCACTGGTCATGGATGCTGCAAGAACCACACGTGAACAGGCCTCCCCCCAACTTGCACTAGCACAGAGCAAGAAACTTCAACCGAGCACAGAGTCCTTGTCGACTTCTTCGTTCGAGTCACACGGAGAGGCTGGATTAGCGGAGTCTCCCTCTCGCGACTCCTCCTTCTCAGCCTCTTTGTTGGCGTCGCTGGCCTCGTCGGCAGAGATTTCGGAGTACTCGTCCTCTGAATACTCGTCGGAGTACTCTTCTTCACTTTCCTCGCCCTCCAGAGCCTCAGTTCGAGGCTCATCCGAAAACTCGTCGGATTCTTTTTTTGTGCCGGTGCTCGGCACATCGACATGCTCCTCACCGGAGCTTACTTTGGAGTATTCATCCGAGTACTCGGAGTACTCGTCCTCCTCGTCGGTCATCTTGGAACCCTCCGCATCCGTCCTGGACTCCTCCACCGGTCGAGGACAGGATTCCGGAGCGGATCCTTTTGAGCCCACTTGTTCCAGGCCGTAGCCTTCGAAGCAGCATTGCGGCACCTCCACTTTGGATCTGCGCTTTGCGAGCGCATCGCCCAATGTCTCCATGACGGAGCAGCAGCCCTACACTCTCTGGCCTATAGACAATCCTCCCTGGCAAACTCGCTATGAAACCACTACATCACTGGGGATGTTCCAACTTCGGCTATCTGCTAAAAGCGGCTGGTTGAGCAGAAGCGGTGGCAGGTTGATCGTGCACGCGAGAAGGAGGTGCATGCCAAGGTGGAAATGGCAATGTGCAAGAAGCGAACGAACTCTCGGACTCACTGAACAGCCCTTTCCATCGGAGCCCACATCCTAAACAGATTTGTCGGGCCGTTGCCCTTTCAGCTCAGCCCGTGAGTAGTCAATCCTCACAATGCAGGCTCGGGAGTTGGCGAGTTCTGTGCGAGCGAATAAAGCTCACTCAACCACGACGTGAGCGTGCCTTGTGCGGCCGGCGGGGATAGAGGGAGCTCCTCCGACTGACACCCGAGGCTGACGGTTGAAATCAGCAGCTTGGGACGCGAACTCGAGCTGCGGACCTCACGTTCCAGAAGTTCTCAAAGAGGTACACAAGCGCAGAGTCGCCTGCAAATGCGGAAGCAGCAGCAGATTTGTCCTTTGTGGGCTTGAGGACTTGAGGAGTCTGCGACGTGGCGGCATTGCTGGCTGTACAGACAGAGATCGCATCATCCTCACAGAGGAAGACTGCATGCAGCACTCCCGCTTCAATTTCATGAACACGCAACAGTCCAGTGCCGTCAACATGCTTTTCCCGCGCGTCGCTCCATGCTTCTCGGCCACAAGCTAGCAAGCTAGTGCCCTGCCAAGAACCAGTCTTTGACGTCGGACAGGAACCTGATCGCATCGTTTGCATACTGGGAGTCGGAGATGTCCGGGTGATGCCTCAACACGAAGGATCGGAAGATAGTGCGGCGCTGGGAGATGGGCTGCCATCGAAGGCTCCGAAGCTCGGCCTCGATAGCATGAGTGACCTCGGAGGCTTCTGGATCTTCTGGGTGCATGAACATGGAGGCTGGTGCCTCAGCCGGCTGCCAGAGGAAGAAGGCTTCCTTCAGCAGCTGCTGCCGCTGCAAGCTGAGTTTGCCCCTGCGCTGCTTTGTCCTCTGCTCCAGCACCCACGCACCAAGCTGGAAGCCAGAGCCTGTGATATGGAAGGCAGGGACCGTCCTCTTGCGGTGCTGCGCCACATACATGCGAAGTTCTGACAAGCCTTGGGCAAATGTTTCTGAGTCTGGATCTAGCATGACGCCAAGACCTTTTAATCGGGCAACTTTATGGTCTTTCAATGCCCCACTTTCCCACTGCTGTCGCTGCTTCTGCATCCATGCGCCCAGTTCATGACCAAATTGCGTGGCAAGGAAGCGGACATTCACCCTGTTGTGCCGATCCCTGTATGCCAAGAGTCGGCCGAGCCACATATCCCAGGGATCTCCCAATGTCTCCACACCCCGAGCGATGGCGATCTCAGCCTGCTTCCGCGCATTGCCCTCGTTCACCAAACTGCGAAGCTCGAAGGGCAGCTCATCCCACTTCAGGCGTCGATCCTTCCGGCCGAACTCCACCGAGGTTCGCTGTAGGGCCTCCTCCGCTCGTTGATCTTCAATGGCAAAGGCCATCCACACGGCGGAGGCATGGTTCTTCGCCGCGCCCGCTACAATAATTGAGCCTCGAGACTTCCCGCTGCTCCAGCGGGCCAAGCGCGGAAATTCTTGCGCCAGGTGGACATAGTTCGGAGAGCTTCCTGCAACAAGAATGGCATCGATGGATGCCTCTGGCTGGTTGGCTCCCGTTGTAACTGTGCAACCACCATCTGTCTGAGCTTCCAGCAGATGTGCTAGTGCTGCCGACAACCGAAGCTGGTCTGGCACAATGTGTATTGACTTGATCCCAAGCCGAATGTGCAAATCTGCCAGTTCTTGCGCCACATCCGTCACATTTGTTGAGCGGATGATTTGCAAGCCGATCGGCACGGTCAACCTGAGCCGCTCGGCATCCTCATGGGTCAAGCGATACACTTCAGGTCCGAACTTGCTCGGGGGCGCCTCTTCAGGAAAGCCAGGCTCTTGACCAGGGGCTAACAAAGCGCCGGGAGCCATTCCAAACAGATGTCTGCTAGACAGGAAGACTCGCCGCCTCGCAGGGATGAGGTCTTCCTGAGCAGCTAGCGCATGGAAGCCGCCTGCACGCATGACGTGAGCATTTGCAAAGGTCATGATGTCAAGAGGCTGCTTGATTTTGGACTCCAAGATAGCCAGGCCAAGCTTCATGATGTGGCCATAGGGACACAGGAGGACCAGAGAAGAGTTCATTCTCAAAGCTTCAATGACTTCTCGCTTCCTCACCGAAGGGTCTGACAAGTCCAGCACAGTGACCTCGGCAAAGTGCTCCCTGTAGAGCCTGCGCGCTTGTCTCACCAAGGGGTTTGGAAGCGCCAGCGCGGCCCGGAAGAATGACGGGCGGCCGTTCGAGCCGAGAAATGTGTGTAGAATTTTCAGGCTGACCTGCAGCTCACCGGCGCCACTGGGCATCAATATAGTGGATGCATTCGCTTCCTCGAGCGCAGAGATGGCAGCCTCCGCAGCTTGGGCCCACACTCGCTCGTGTGGGTCATCTTGACTGGGGTCAGCACTTTGGTCAAGCACCGTCTCAGTTAATGTTCCTGCCCATCTCGTCTGTTGATCTCTTAAGCTTTGCCTTCCTGCAAACCTCCGAGCTGCTGGAGATAGGCCAGCGCCATCTAAGCCCTTTCCGATAAACGTGTTCTGTATCCTGCTCCAGCTTAGGGCTGTAATCACTGCCAAGAGCTTCTGGAACTGCCACGTACGGTTCGGCGCATCTCGGCAACGGTGCCGAGACATCCCAGCACTGGGCGACCGATGGCGCTCGCTACATCTGCTCAAAGCTGCTCTGTTGATGCCTTGTGCTTCCGCTTCGACCTACAAGTGAGTAGAATAGGACATAAAGGTCGACGAATGGCAATCCCGCTTGGCTGTGGACCGAAACATCAAGACGACTTCGTGGCGTAGCTTGAGCGGCGAAGGCCGAGGTGCCAGTCGAAGGATAACAGAGGTTCGAAGATGTCACGTACTCATGCCAGCTGCTTGGCAGTAATCACAAGGCTACGAACGGCAGCTTAGTGACAACTCAGTGGCGACAGTACTTCCAAAAAATCAAAATTTCGGTCATCCGGGAATGTAGCTGTGCCCTTGATGAAGTCCGGTCCGTGACCAGGCACTGCTTGCCGGTGTCTTTGCTGATGTCGTGAACATAGCAAGGAATCTCCTGATTTCGGCTTGCACACCTCTGATGTCAAACCTCTCCGAAGCAGCAACTCCACGTCCCCACAAGTCAGCTATGGTCCTGCCCCACCTGATGTCCGCAACCTTTCCATTTCAAGCAAGGCTCCTAGGCAGTTGGACTCTTCTCCATGTTCAGCCCACCTTCCTCACAAGGAAAAAAACGCTTCAGGGCGGCCTCAGTTCAGACGAAGGTCGCAGCAGCCCGAGTGACATGGCCATGCACCGGACGCAATTGTTGATGAACTCCAACTCCAGGTCGGCACAGTGCCTGGGTACATAGAGCGCAGCGGGAGCCACAAACATCTCCGTCACATCTCTCTTTCTCTCTTGGGTTTCGTGGTTTGTGAAGTTCTCAGGGCTTGGATGCTGACATTCCCATCCGTGCGCACATGTTGGCGCAAGATTCACCCGGCTGCGCCTGCGGAGCTCCAACCGGCTTTAACGCTTCAGTGGTGAACCCTCCGGGAACCTTTTAAACTTGCGTTCAGGCCGAGAAGCAAAGAGCCACCCTCCTCTGTGCTCTTGCCTTGTCAATGCGGCGCAGGAGGTGCGGCTCGGCGCGCTCGGCGTCTGGGAGCAATCCCTGACCTAGCCACACACAGTTTTGGGCGATGCACGTGATCTCGGAGCGAGCGGGACCCCTGCTTTTCATGCGATCTGCCAAGTAGACTCGTGCGCCACTAGTCGGATCCCTGGCCGCCAGGCGCCAGGTCAGCAGAGTTCGCCAACGCACACCATTCTTGGTCCTAGTGGAGATCACACCGCGATGTGCAGCTCGAGGTTGGGCCTCATGTACTTGCGAGTAACCCCACTGGCACCTTTGAGTCCGAAACCTGCCTCTGTCAATTGTAGTTTCTGAGCAAGTTTCTTGTAATCTCGGCCTTGGGATGACGATCTTCGTTGGAATCCTTTGGAATCTACAAGGCATGGTAAAGTATCCAGCAGGTCTGCAGCTGTGGTCGGCACGGAAATATGGCAGCACGTATGCCTCCAAACCCATGCATCATTGAAAAGCTCCGCTCGCACTTGTCCGGTTTGTGCCGTACACTATAGGTCTCTCATCCAGACTAGAGTCCTCCGACATTGAAAACTCAATCTGGCCCTGGCAGTACTGAGTTACATCAACACCTCAAAGCATTGCAATTACCGATCTCAAGCAGGCCTTGTGAGGATTGAGTGCCATAAGACGGTCTGGGCCGATCACCTCTGCCTGGCTCCAAAGAGTGACACACCACGTCGAAAGCTAGCACTCACAACGTGACGGCATGCCGGCCTGGTGCAAACTCTGGCGTATCTCAGCCTAGCACTGCGAGACCACCGAAACGCCAACTAAACGCGCAGCGCCGGCAAAGCTCAGCCCAGGCCTCGTAGGAGTCTTGTAGCAAGTACCCCAGATCGCCCAAGCCTTTAGGCTGCAGCCGGCTGGAGGGCATCCTGCACATCTAAGACATCTTTCAAAGAGTGCGCCCAGATCTTGCGTTCGACAAGGATGGACAGTCCCGTTCAACTTCTTGGCCAGCGGAGTGCCGGCCTTGACCTCAGCAGCGCAAGCCGGAAACCCGGAAGCCCCACCAATGCCGATGAGAAGCTCAGGCCGCCAGGCTGCCGGCGTTGGTGCCACGGGTGTCAAAGTGGTGGGTCCTGGAGCTTGAGGTTGGTAACGTCGCAATGCGCGAGAATCACCGCTGCGAAAATAGTTGGAGGCACTCGCCAGTTTGGTACGTGATGTTTCAAACTAGACCGAATTCGACACATCATCTGCAAGCATGTGTTACTGCGTGTATGTTCAACTGTGTATGCATGATTAGATATACCTACCTACCATTACCTACCTACCTACGCGGTTTTGTGATTGATTGATTTCAGGTTTCACTGACTCTTGAACTTCTTGCAAGTTGTGAGCCTGTGGTGCTGCCTCTTCAATCCAATGCTCCTCGTGTCAGGACAGCTCCGTACCTCCAAAGGCCTTAAGCCCAGAGTTTAGTAGAGCGACAGCAGGTGGCAGTTGAGAGTACGGTCCAGTGCATGCAGGCCAGCAAGTGGTACATTTTTACGCACGTGCGCGCGCGTGCATGTTAGATATGTATATATATATATATATAGATATATAGATATATAGATATATATATATATATAGATATATATACATAGGTGTGTGTATATATATATATACAGGTGTATATACATATATAGGTATATATATATATATATAGGTATATAGGTATAGGGGTATATATATACCTATATATACATATATATACCTATATACATATATATATATAGGTGTATATATATATAGGTATGTATCTATATATCTATATATATATATATGTATATGTGTGTGTATGTATACACACATATATAAATATATGTAGATTTTCTCTATATATATATGTATAAATAAATGTGTATGTGTGTGTGTGTGTGCGAGTGTGTGTGTGTGTGTGAAAGCCCTGACCATCGCTAATGGTTTCTGGAATGTTGACAAGCATCGTTTTGTACAGCTGCAGGGGGACTGGGCACTCTGTGACTGACCCAGTCTAACAAAGCTAGATCACAGAGTGGGATACTGCACCTGATCAGTGCAGCGTACCTGCAAGCTCGCATGGCAACCAGGCCAAGCCACAAACCTGGAAAGCTCGCCAATTCGAAAGCTCGAATGGCAACCAGGCCAAGCCACAAACCTGGCATGCTGGCATGCTGACTTACCTGAGGTTTCTGACATCTACTAAGGTAACATCGTGAAGAATAGTTTGTGGCAGAAGCCGATGGACCAACTGGAATAAGTGCCATTTCTCCGTGTGTTGGCCTTTGTTGCCAGTAGGCGAGCGACGCCAAATTTCGCGATGCGGAATACCCAAGTACTTGGTGAGCTTGACTTGAAGAGCAAATGGTTGCACCGGAGTCAGGCTGTATCTCTCTCTTTTCAGGTACCGCCACACGTGTGTGTAAACACGAATCTGATAGCACTGTCGAACGTGAGTTCAGGTTCGAGTGAAACTCAATTCTTGGCAGAAGCTGTATTTGGCTGCAAGCGCAGGGACCGCAGGAATTATTGAATTCCTTTGCAACATGGCTGCAACAACGTGCTTTCCCCACCCTCATTGATTCTGGGGCCGTCGCGCCAGCTGGTGGATGAAGGCAGGGAAACTTTCATTCTGATTGCACTTGGGGCCGTCGCGCCAGCTGGTGGATGAGAAACAAAGATGTGCCAGGACCAAAGCACAATATCGGCCAGGACCCAAGCCGAACGACGACGCAGACGACAACGACCGCGACGACTACTAAGGAACACTAAGGACCGGTGTCTTCTCAGTCCGTCAGCCGAGCTATTGTCTTCTCCTTTCGCTCTCTCCCCCCTCTTTCCTCCTGGTCGTCTGTCAGCCGAGCTATCGTCTTCTTTTCTCGCCCGCTCCCCTCTCCTCCTCGATACCTCCCCCCGAACGGGGGGTGTGTGTGTGAAAGCCCTGACCATCGCTAAGGGTTTCTGGAATATTGACAAGCATCGTTTTGTACAGCTGCAGGGGGACTGGGCTCTCTGTGACTGACCCAGTCTAACAAATCTAGGTCACAGAGTGGGATACTGCACCTGGCCAGTGCAGCGTACCTGCAAGCCCGCATGGCAACCAGGCCAAGCCACACAATTCGAAGGCTCGAATGGCAGCCAGGCCAAGCGACAAACCTGGCATGCTGACTTACCTGAGGTTACCGACAATCCACTAAGGTAACATTGTGAAGAATAGTTTGTGGCTGAAGCCGATGGACCAATTGGAATAAGGGCCATTTCTCCGTGTGTTGGCCGTTGTTGCCAGTAGGCGAGGGCTCCGTCATGGGGCACGCCAAATTTCGCGATGCGGAATACCCATGTACTTGGTGAGCTTGACTCGAAGAGCAAATGGTTGCACCGGAGCCAGGCTGTATCTCTCTCTCTTCAGGTACCGCCACAGGTGTGCGTAAACACCAATCTGATAGCATTGTCGAACGTGAGTTCAAGTTCGAGTGAAACTCAATTCTTGGCAGAAGCTGTATTCGGCTACAAGCCCAGGGACCACAGGAATTATTGAATTCCTTTGCAACATGGCTTCAATAACGTGCTTTCCCCACCCTCATTGCACCTGGGGCCGTCGCGCCAGCTGGTGGATGAGGGCAGGGAAACCTTCATTCTCATTGCACTTGGGGCCGTCGCGCCAGCTGGTGGATGAGAAACAAAGATGTGCCAGGACCCAAGCACAATATCAGCCAGGACCCAAGCCGAACGACGACGTAGACGACAACGACCACGACGACTACTAAGGAACACTAAGGACCGGTGTCTTCTCAGTCCGTCAGCCGAGCAATTGTCTTCTCCTCTCGCTCTCTCTCTCCCCTCTTTCCTCCTGGTCGTCTGTCAGCCGAGCTATCGTCTTCTTTTCTCGCCCGCTCCCCTCTCCTCCTCGATACCTCCCCCCGAACGGGGGGTGTGTGTGTGAAAGCCCTGACCATCGCTAAGGGTTTCTGGAATATTGACAAGCATCGTTTTGTACAGCTGCAGGGGGACTGGGCTCTCTGTGACTGACCCAGTCTAACAAAGCTAGGTCACAGAGTGGGATACTGCACCTGGCCAGTGCAGCGTACCTGCAAGCCCGCATGGCAACCAGGCCAAGCCACAAACCTGGAAAGCTCGACAATTCGAAGGCTCGAATGGCAACCAGGCCAAGCCACAAACCTGGCATGCTGACTTACCTGAGGTTTCCGATAATCCACTAAGGTAACATCGTGAAGAATAGTTCGTGGCTGAAGCCGATGGACCAATTGGAATAAGCGCCATTTCTCCGTGTGTGTTCTACGTACATACACACATGCATACTTACATACCTACATACCTACATGCCTACATACATAAAGTACTACATGCATACATACATACATCCATACATACATGCATGCAGACATGCATACATATGCGAGTGTGTCCAAAGCTACGTTTAACATGATTGGCGTTTTTGCGGTTTATTTCCTCATACACAGCACATACACATGTTCATGTCCATAGTGCCAGAATCAGTAGATCAGAAGCCGACATTCTACCCTAAACCCTAAACCCTAAACCCTAAACCCTAAACCCCTAAACCCTAAACCCTAGACCACAGGACAAGTCTCGAAGAACAACTCGGAGTTCGTGAAGATGGCGGATGGCAGCGCCTCATGGAAGGCTCAGAGATTGGGAGTTACTTCGATTTTGTCGGGGCTGGCAAGGCTTCGAGGGGAGGAAGGGCGACCCGACACCAGGAAGGGTTTAGGGTTTAGGGTTTAGGGTTTAATTCGTGTTTAGGGTGATGACACAGCCGCAAAGCACGCTTTCATGTCCCTGACCCCAGACCAGGAAACCAGCAACATCCAAAACCCTACAACCCCGAAAAACTTGAAACAACAGCTTGAACAAAACATAAACCCTAAACCCTAAACCCACCCTAAACCAAAAACCGATGAGGAGGTGGCGTCCCTCAGCTTCTTTTGCCAGGAAGCTTGCGCAGGCCATGTAGTACCGGGCGTGCTCCTCGAAATCGAAAGCATACTGTGGGGGCCTTATCAATTAGAATAGGGTTTTGGGGCCCATTATAATTCTAATAAGGAACCCCCGAAATAGTTTTGGTAATCATTTAGGCCCCTATATTATGTTCTCTAAATTCGGGTCCATTTTGGGGTCCCAAATATAGTACGGCCCTATAAAGGACCCGGAAAGGGACCCTAATTTAGAGAGCTACAGATATCGCCAAAAATGCTCTGGGTCAGGTTGGGATTTAGGGCCTACCTTGAGCTACCCAAACCTACTTCTTGCAGGGTGCCTAGATATTGGAGGGGGTATGTAAAAACAACCTACTTCTTGCAGGGAGCCTAGAGATTGGGGGTGTGACATAGGGTCGGTTCTGGTAGTTTCAGGTAAACCTCAACCCAGGGCCCAGGGAGCCCAATACCCCGCCAACAAGGAACATACCTTACAGCATAAGATGTGTAGGATTTCGGGCTTAGGGAATACAGCCCCCTATACTTTCAGACATATTCCTTCCTTAAGGGGTATTGGGCTCTTTGGGAAGGCCTTGAGCAGGAATTCGCGGGATCAGGGCCTCAGTGCTGAGGGCTGAGGGCTGAGGGTTCCAGGGTCTGGACTTGGGCCTTGGCGGCTTTAAGGTTTAGGGTTTAAGGCTTTTAAGGGTTTAGGGGTTTAGGGTTTAGGGTTGAGGGTTTAGGGGTTTAGGGGTTTAGGGGTTTAGGGTTTAGGGTTTAAGGCTTTTAAGGTTTAGGTTTCGAGTCTTAAGGTTTAGGGTTTTCAGGTTGATTTGGGCTAAGAAGGGTCCGATTTAAGGGGTCTCCCACTACCTAGGAAATACACCGATTAGAGCCTCAACCTTCAAGCTCGACCATAAAGCCTCAACCCCAAATCCCAACCCTAAACCCTAAACCCTAAACCCTAAACCCTAAACGCGAAAGTCTAGC